AGTTCCTCTTTGAATGATTTCTGCAGCCGAAAACTGCAAAAGCTTTTTAATCTCTTAGTCATCGGCACTTTTTACGCTGTAAATGCAATTTCTTTTTGTGACTAATTGTTTCATATGTAAATGCAAGCATTTTTTCTTTGGTTACAAATGCTGTGTGTCAGTACTGAAGTAAATTTTACTTAAACTCTTTATTAATCTCATTTTTTTTTAAGATTAAAATTACAGCTTGAAATAAAATGCTGATCTTCTTCAACACCCAGTGTTTCATATTTGCTCTATTTGAGCATATAATAATATGGCATAATCTGTTCGACTAAATGACAATTCATATTTGAAAAATAATTTTTTACAATCCTTACCACTTCTTTATCGGTTGCTAATCACATAACATTTATTCGTCTCAGATTTGCTCACAGCGAAGTGGAATTTAAGCTTTTAAACAGCCAGTGTTAGTATCGTCTAAAATTTATTTTACCAATATGCAAAAATAAATTTATTTCACCGCTATCCCGAATCTTCTGTAGACAAAAAGCGCGGAGCTGCTTTGATAAATCAGTAATTTTGCAACGGTTCATCTTATCGGTTAGCCTTTATGGCTTTTATACTTGGCTAATAAAAGTGTTAAAATGCTGATTACAAGTCAATTTAGGAAGTATGATCTGTCAATTTTCCTAACGTCACATCAAAAATTTAATTTTGCAAGCTTTTCAAAGCTTGTAAAACGTTTTCTTTTTTCTGGTTTAGATAAAGTATAACAAAAATTCCAACAGCTTTTCGCCTGAAAGACAATGCCTCTAATGTTTCTCTCGTGAAGTTACTATCGTTTCTTTCCAACAAGCTCTCTTTAATAATCATATTTGCAAGACTGTGTAGAAGTTTCTTGATAATGGTACGATAAGAAGAAAACCATAAAGCTTATAAAATTCCAAAAATTTATTTTAACAAGTAAGGGCACTATATATTGTTGAGTAAAATCTCAATTTTTTTATCATTTTCAATAGTATTAGCACGAACTCGAGCAATAGCAATTTTCTTTTTCTTAATTTCGTCGTCAAGCTGCTTTAAAGTTAGTAAAAGTCTCTCAGATTCCACCTCAACCTTAGCATTCATTTTTTTCAAATCTGAGTCGTACTTTTGTTTTTCTGAGCGCCATTCATTCATCTCCTGAATCATGTTGTCAATATCTTCCTGTAAAAATTGTCTAAATTAACAAACTTTAAGACGACGTACTGCACGATATCTCAAGTTTATATAGTTTATTATATCAAAGGCCATTATACTGCATAAAAAAAACTAAATTACCAAATTAAGAGATGTTTTTTTATTACAAAACCTGACAATGTTACAGGTAAGAAATACGTCTCATAATTTTGGTTTGAAAAGTTTTTTGATATTACTAAAGCGACAATCACCACGACATAATCTTAACTATAACCGAGGTTGTTAGAAGTGTTGCTTTATTAGATAAACCCGCTCATTACTGGTAGTATTGTCGTCAGTTAATGAAATTGATCCTCATTTCTCATTAAGCTTACCTAATAAACTACTAATATATTTTCATTCCTTGTTTTTTCCAATAATTACCGCAAAGCCGCAGAGCTTGAAAAAAGTTATAATACTGCTCTTCAGAAATATCTAGAAGTTGAAATTTTACTGCAAACTCATTTCTATCTAACTGTATTACGATTAATACAGTAGTTCAACTCTGTTTACGTACAAAAAATGAAGAATCAGCCTCATCTTTCAAAGCAGCGGTAAACTCGGAATTTATCTTAGGTGATTCCAAAATGAAAACATTCGCTGATTTTTTCAGAGATCTTTTTCACCGCTCAAGTTATGTCAAACAAATTTTCATCCTTCAAAGTTATTAGCATTCGTTCCCTGTTACTCTTTTAATATCGTAATTTGAGCACAATTTACCTGAGCGTAATCGAACAAACGAACTAAAGGATGTAATGTCTGCGTTAGCTGCTGCACTACTTTCTGCATACTTTCTACCTGTAAATCTGAGTTTAAAGATATCAAAAGCCTTTTAATTAGGTAAGATTGTAAAATATTAGCTAGTAGCAACCGCAGGCATTCTCTTCTAGATCTAATTAGGAACCTGATTAACTTTTTGGTCCACACTAAGACTTCACTAAAACAAACTTTCTTCTGCTGCATTATCCTTATTACTCCCCTATCTATCCGAAACGTTTTGTAATTTTTTTTCCAAAACCCGCTCACTCAATCTTGTTTTACTTTTACTCAGTAAAAATAAAAGAGGAAAAAATAGTGTTTCGCACATTAAATATTAGCTTTTCATATAATACGTGGCTACAACGAAAAAAATTAAAAAGTTAGATTCGTAAACATTGCATGAATTTATCCACAAAAAGTAGAGCATCTTTCTGCTTATCTGTAAACAAGTTTGTGCAAGTAAGAGAACCCTTTTTAAAATAGTACAGAAGATAAACATTTGTGTAAGTCGTAAAAAATTATTATTATATTACTGACATATTCCTTTATTGTTCTAAACCTTCCCTATGTAGCAAATTTCGTAAGGCCACCAAAGACGACTTTCACAAATTTCTAGCAAGCAAGGGAAGAGTGCCTCTGTTTTATAGAAGGTAGCAGTCGCAAAACTATAGTTGGAAAAGGTGGTAACATTCATCCTCTGTCTTAGTATTTATCCAGTCTTTTTTCGATAAATATTTAATAATTGCCCCTATTAGTAAATTTTGACAGCAGCGAAAAGTGTACTTGATACAAGATGCTGAGAACAACTTTTTTAGATTTCTAAACTTTGGAACTCTATACTCTTATAAAAACAAATTTCTACAGCTGATGTCTGACATGGAAATTATGAAGATAGAGGTGACGACGAAACTCGCCTGAGTTTTGTGCTGATTTCTCTGGTTATCGTCAAATAAACTAGTAGACGCGAAAGTATCGTCTTGGAGACCAGCTTCAAGTTCCTTTTTTGTGCTCAGTATTTTTTTTACAAGGCTTCCATGCTCTTCGGAATTGAGCT